TACCAACTGCTCATGAAGAATATAATCAGTATGTACTGCAAACATGTACAAATAACACTTTTTAATTGAAAAAGAATGAACAAAGTAATGTAAGGAAAATAAATGATATGGAATATGTTACCATTTCTGAACTATATATGTACTTTGTTATTATTTATCCAAACATTATCAGCTCATCAGTGTCTTATATAAACATAAATAATAATACGTAAATTCAAGAGTTTTGATAGTCAAATTTTAGTCATAAAAATCAGAACTTTATATATTTTAAAATTTCACCAATGTTCTTTAATTCGATATTTTACTCAGTGAATTGCTTCTTGGCCTAGACCCCACAAATCTTACACATAGATATGCTTAGAAGCACTTTATTTGATCATTTTAGGGTTTAGTTATTTTAAAATGAAATTTTAAATGCTTTTATTTCTTTCTTTATTTATTTATTGAGACAGGATCTTACTATGAGTTCAGACTGGCCATGAATTCCCTTTGTAGCCCAGGATGACCCTAAACCTACAGTGATCCTCCTGCTTCAGCCTCTGGGATGATGAGATTACAGGCATATGCCACTGTACCTGGCCTTGTTTTGTTTTGTTTTTAAATTTAGGCCAGGGTGTACAGGATGTACAAGGTCTCACTGTGGATCGGACTCATAGTGATCCTCCTGTTTACAGCTGCCCAAGTGCTGGGATTACAGGTGCACACCACCACACCCAGTCTCAACTGCCATCTCAGCATGCCCTGGAGGCAGAGCCACACAGCAGGCCGGGGATTGAACTCCCAGCCCCGCCTAAGCAGGCGCTTTAACCACTGAACTTTTATTTTAGATATAAGAACCTAAATTTTTTTTAAATGTTTAAATACTTCAGCTTTCTACTTTATAGAATGCCTACTTGCTTGTAATTACAGCGCTGAGGACTTGCAAGAAGATGGCAGAGTGGTGAGCAGTGGCAAATCAGCCTCCCTGAAATTCAGAGTTCCAGGTGCCAGAGTATGGCAACTTGAAGAAGAGAAGAACGAGGGAGATGGAGCTGCAGGACCCAAAGGTATCTGAAGGGAGAATTGGAACCCATGGGGAGAGTGAAGAGAGGGATGTTAACACAAAAGAGGGACGTGGCAAGTAGCGTTTTCTCCCAGCCTGCTGGCTCGCAGCACAATGCTCAAATCTACAGAGGCAGGGTGACTGTGGGTCTCTCCAGAGCACTCCACCAGAAATGCACCCAAAGCTCAGGTAATCTTCCTTTGTCCTTCAGCCTTGCTACTAATCAGTTTCTATTCTATTTCTCTACTTTTTCACTCTATTGAGGGAATATAATTTCCTGGCTTTAGTTTTTGTTATATAACTATAGACCTTGTTCCTTTGGTTGAAGGTAGCAAATTAGTAGAAAATGACAGCTTGTCATTTTCTATGCTGTGCTTGATGCTGTTGTTATTACTGATTGTACTACTCTAGCCAAGATGACATATGTGGCGCCAAAGCTCTGGACCTTTCCAAAGCCAGGCTCCCGGGGTAGAGAAAGTCCATGCTTCTGAGAAGCCGAGCTGGGTAAGCCCTGTTCCCAGAGGCAGTTGCTGCTGACCCTATAAGTCAAAGGAAGAAATAGCTGGCTAAGCTCAACATTGGTACTGGTGGCCACCATGTCCTTGAAGATCCAGACAAGCAATGTAACCAACAAGAATGATCCCAAATCCATCAATTCTCGAGTCTTCATTGGAAACCTAAACACAGCTGTGGTGAAGAAATCAGATGTGGAGACCATCTTTTCCAAATATGGCCGTGTGGCCGGCTGTTCTGTGCACAAAGGATATGCCTTTGTTCAGTACTCTAATGAGCGCCATGCCCGGGCAGCTGTGCTGGGAGAGAATGGACGGGTGCTGGCTGGGCAGACCCTGGACATCAACATGGCTGGGGAACCCAAGCCCAACAGACCCAAAGGGCTAAAGAGAGCAGCATCTGCCATATACAGACTCTTTGACTATCAAGGTCGCCTGTCACCAGTGCCAGTGCCCAGGGCAGTTCCTGTGAAACGACCCCGTGTCACAGTTCCTTTGGTCCG